ACAACAGAGCAGCCAGTTATACGTCTGAACCACACACCCTTAATATTAGCTGGAGACAACATTGTTTATTACATACTTTTATATTACATCTGTTTTAATCTTGTGAGGAAAGAAATGTTTAGTTTTCATAAGATGGATGTAATGATTTATGAATTGTTTTTTGTTTTGTTTAAAACATGCTGTCCCAGAGTGTCTTAAATGGTAACCTTATGTTTCCACACTATAAACACTTTCTGTTCTAAATATGTAGTTTACATGTAGTGTAGTATGCATTTGCAAACTAAAGAATAACTGCTCTAAGTGCTTTTTCCATCTGACCACATAACATGCTCAGTGTAATTTCAGAAAAGTGAATGTTTTCTTTTTTCTCTGCGAGAACCCCTATAGGCGGAAAGAGGGGTCGGGTTCATGCTATATCAGTCTTACACAAGGAAAAAGGTAAAGCTTGGTATACTTGGTTAGAAATTCTTACGAATATTTATATGAAAAATCCTGTCAGAATATTTGATAATACCATCAGAGATCTGATGGATGTCATTTGAAATGTCCTTTGGTTTTAACATTCAACCTCAGAAAGAATATATTGAACAGAAACCACATTCACTGTATACTGAATTTAATTCGTTCTTGAAAATGTTTCTTTTTTTTTTTCCTCACTACGTGGAAGATGATTGTTGTTTTCACCCCATTAACTATTACGAACTTGTACCTAACCCTTAGAAAACGACCATGCCCATGTATTTCCAACTTAATTAGTACCAGGATTTGTATGTGGCCATTTCTTGCCCTGGTGAGCCTCTGATACAGTATAAAAGAGCATCCAATGTTCTTCCTTATGTAATCTGTGCTATTGTCCATGAACCAAAACAGAAGGATAAATCAAGGGTGGTACAGACACAAACCCGTAATTTAGGCTGGGCACACACCTTACAACCATCGCAAGACTTTTGTCTTGCGATGGTTGTAAGGTAATTAAAAAAACGTACGATCTGCCTATCTTGGACAGACAGATCGTACTTGCGATGATCGCAAGCCCGCCCCACCGAGGGGCGGGATTTCGATGACCGCAATGCTGAACGTGCAGTGTGCGTTTCCGCACATCGGCCCGTCCGGCTTTTATCTTACGAACATGCTACACACCTGCCAAACAAAATGTACAAACCTTAAAGAGAAACTATGTTTAAAAAAATAAAATAAAATTGACACAGCATATACACCAAACAGCCATATTGTTTTGACCACCTGCCTAATATTGAGTAGGTCCCCCTTTTTGCTGCCCAAACAGCCTTGACCTGCCAAGGCATGGACTCCACTAGAACCCTGAAGATACGTTGTTGGTATCTGGCACCAAGCCGTCACTAGCAGATCCTTTAAATCCTGTAAGTTGCGAGGTGGGGACTCCATGGATGGGACTTGTTTTTCCAGTACGTCCGACAGATGCTTTAATGGATTAAGATCTGGAGAGTTTGGAGGCCAAGTCAACACCTCAAACTCGTTGTTGTGTTCCTCAAAGTGTGGCAGGGCGCATTATCCTGCTAAAAGAGGCCACTGCGATCAGGGAATTCCATTTCCATGGGGGGAGTGTACTTGGTCAGCAACAATTTTTAGGTAGATGGCATGTGTCAAAGCAACATTTGAATGGCTAGATTAAGGTTTTCCATTAGAAAATTGCCCAAAGCATCTCACTGCCTCCTCAGAACCAGCATTAACTTTTTCAGCAATTTGAGCTACAGTAGATATTCTATTAGATTGGACTATATAGGGGCCAACCTTCGCTCCCCATGTACATCAATGAGCCTTGGCCACCCATATTTTTCTAACCACAAGTTTGCTTCAAACAGAATTTCTTTTCACTTTTCCAACTTTTTCTATATGGAGATTGCAAGCAGCTTGATAAGTTGCTTGTTTTCCCAAGTGTTTTGCAGAGCTCTTTGTTTAACTGGTGGGTCCTGCTATATATCTGATCCTAGCTGTGATTTTAGTTGGTCAGACCATGTCTGACTGGCCTAAATCCCTTAAAAGAAATATAGCTACTACTGCAGTTAATCCCTAGCTTTTAAATGCTTGGATCAGATGGCGGCAGTGTTAAATTTTTGCTGTGAATAGTTTTGCTCTCTGCCCACCTCTTCATTTCCTCTTCTGTGTTTCTGCACAGACTAGCAGATTTTCATTAAGCCCTCTCAGGTCTTCTGCATCAAGGTGTCATTGCCCAAGTTCCTGTAGCAAAATGGTTCCAGCCTAATCACTGTTTCCAAACCGAAAGGGATCATTTCGCCCAATCTTGGATCTCGACAATGTTTTCATTTGAATCCAAAAATTTCAGCTCTAGTCCAGAAAATCTACCATTGCCTCCCTCCACCAAGGAAACCTCTGGTCTCATACTCAAACTCTTTAGTCCAGAAGCCATTTGACTCTCCAGTTCTGCAAACAGGTTTTGGGGCTTCTTCAAGGCTTCATCCACTTCACTTAATTTAAATCCAGACATCAGCAACACAAAATTCTGTAGTCATGAGACAAGCCAGTCTTGTGTCTGAGAAGGTCAATTCGCTTGACACCAAAGACCAGGCTATCCTTGGCTTGGTGGCTCAGGAATCTGGCTCTAGAGTTGGGAAGCCTGTTGGGTTGTCATAGTTGAGGTCTACCTATGATGCCAATTACAGGTCTCTCTCATCTTTTTAAGTGGGAGAACTTGCACAATTGGTGGCTGACTAAATACTTTTTTGCCCCACTGTATATAGCAGTCACTGAGTTTTTGATGATTGTCACTTTGTTTGCCTGAGGAAGTAACCAGGTTAAGTCCCCAAACGTAGCTATACACTGTGAGACCTAAGATGTCAATAAAGGAGGTTTGACATTCTTGAACCTTGGAGTGCCAGTGATCTCTTTATTGCTGACCTGTTTGTGGCACCACATGCATTCACTGCAGCACCCATTTCCAATCAGTTTGGACTTTTTCCGGTCAGGAATGTGATGGGATATGGACTGCGTTTTCTGGGCACCGTATCGGCGCAGGATACTTAGTCATTGCAATAATTCCCTCTACAAATAAACATTTAGAGCTTGGAAAGATTTGGCTGTCCCTTCAGCATTGGACCACCCTGTTGAAGAGTCATCCAGATTCAGTCAGACAACACAATGGCAGTGGCATACATCCAATTGAGGTAGAGTGGAGCCTTTCCTAGGCAGAACTTCATGTTCTACTCTTGTCAGCCATGTACTATACAGGGTTAGACAATTGGGAGGCAGATTTCCTCAGCCTGCAGCACCTGGACCCAGGAGAATGTTCCCTGCGCCCAGATGTGTTCCAGGACTTGTGTTGCAGGTGTGGGACTCCCATTATGGACATCCTGGCCTTTCAACAACAGACAGGTCTGTATTCAGGCTCAGGACCCCCCTGTTGCAAGCAGTGGATTCTTTTGTTGGTCGGCGGGATCAGTATACCCAGTAGTTTTACTTTTAGCCATCACCTCAGTAATGCGAGTGTCTGATTTTCTAATCTTATCTTTCAAAGAACCCTTTTTGATCTTGCATAGGGACAAGGTTGTGTTGAGATCCAGGACATTCTTCTTGCCTAAGATAGTTTCTGCCTTTCACCTTAACCAGGACATTGTTCTCCCATCCCTCTATCGCGCTCCAGTTCATGAAAAGGAAATTTCCTGTCTGGATGTAGTCCAGGTGTACAACTCCCTTTTTTTAAATCCTCGATTGGCCCTGTAAGGAAGCCTCTGCTTCGCATTCCACCATTTGTAGGTATATTGGACAACAGAAAGACTTTGTGGCTTTTTGGGTATAGCTAGTCAATCCATACATTGAAGTAAGCATTAAAAACTAAATGATTTAGCATTTCATTTCTTTAATTGAAAGGCATATGTGCATAGCACATATCATTTGAACAACCTGTCATCTATCATGAACCTCAGCCTGGCACTTTGAAAATATTATGTTCTGAGAAATTTGCTATTTTGCATTTATTTCCTAAAGAGGTTTAACAGGCTAATGGAAATGTACAAAAAACATACGCATGATATTCGTAATCCATAGCAACCAATCATTTCTCTCTCTTGAAGCCAGATCTCTGAAAAAGTGAATTATAGTTTGTTTTTCTGCAATAAACACTTTTTTCCTTACCTTATCACAATATGTCTGGATGAGTGTTTATTAAAATGTCTGGAGCCCTGACAAAAGTACAGAGGAGAGAAAGAATAAATATGTTCTGATGAGTTAAGAACACAGCTCTACTCGTAATTGTAACTTTAGCAATCTCCTGAGGATGTTTTGATATTATGCCCTCACAGCCACTTTGATGTATTTCAGATGCAATTTTTTTTATCTCGATAACCATCTTTTTTTGCTTATGGCCTGCGTTAATTGGTTTCGGATCTTTTTTTTAATCAATCATTCCATTGTTTGTTTTTTTTTTGTTTTTTTTTCTGATAAGGCACCCAAATAAAAGTGAGCCAAATGAAATGATGCTCTTGGAAATTAAATAAATCTAAACATTTTGAAGAAACAACTGAGAGCTTTGCAGCTGCTCCAGGCTGGAAGAAAACAGATCAGGGACCTGGAGCATGCTTCTGACATGAACGTAAACAGAAAAACATAAATCACTTAGTAAAGATTTGCCAAGCTGTGTGTGGTTCAGAGCAAGAGTGTGTTAAATATGGATAATTTCATGGCATAATATGAATTATTGCAACGTGGACAGCATGCATTTTGTCTAAGGAATTCATTCTTTGTTAGTTCTTGTATATTGTTAGTCTACTTGTGTTAATAATAGACTGTTTACATATTCAAAATAAAGAAAAAAAAGCTTTTAAGAGTAAAAGACATAATATTGGAATGTCTACAACATTCAGAACCTAAGCAGAACAGTGTGTGTCTATCTTGTTAAGTTATTGAAATAGACTGTAAACATGGTTGACTTTTGCTGGTATATATGCAGGATATAAAGGAACACATTAGAGAATCCCTATTGTATATTTAACCTATTTGTATTCCAGATGATACAAGTGGAACATGGGGATTTCCTATGAGCAAGTATTTGAAGGAGAAGGGCTGCCACATTGGTCGGAATGCTAGAATGTCAGCTTGTTTGGTAAGTTGCCATGTTGTGACTTTAAAGCCACTTGTCAATATTAATGTTTTTTGATTGTTTGCTGTAGACTTGAGTAAAAACAACTGTTGAGCACAGATCCTTTCCATCATGCTAAACCAAGTCATGTACACAGCAAATTCAATTTAAAACAGACGTTTTGTAGCCAAAATATTATGTCTGTAGATGTAGCTAGTCAGTAAAACATCATTTCAGAAAATCTGACTTTCTTTGAAGCCTGTAGCTATGATTCACAGGATCCAGGCTAAATATTCTTTTTTTTTTTTAAAGTGAAAGTTTTCAGTCTGTAGTAGCTCACTATTGCCTGAATGAAAGATTGTAGTATGCTTTAGCAACCCTTTTCCACACGAGTAAACTCACAGACTGGATTATATACCATATACTTTAAAGTGACCCACGGCTCAATTTCAAAGTTTTTAAATTTAAAAAGTAAAAATCCTGCCTAAAGCTCACCAAACATGTTACAATCTGATTGTGCAATGTCCTTTAGATCTACCAACAACTACTTTATTTAGTACAAGGACCTGCCTGATTGGGTGCAGATTGATTAGATGGATTAGGTAAGTCCTCCTATTACATAGATTTGGTCAATCTAAAATTGATTGTACAAAAATTGTATGGTCAGATTGTAATGTGTGTAGATGCCTGATATAATTTTCATTAACCAACTTTGTTTTCTAAAAAATTAGGTCTGAAGCTCATTCACACCAGAGTGTTGTAGTAACAATTTCATCCCAACACACTCTACAAAGCACCTGTGCTGAAATGCAAATAATGCAGCATTCACTAAAATATGTGCATGGAGATGCGCTAGGCTCATTCTTTTTTTAAAAGGTGTTTATTTAGAATTTTGAAGAAACATTTCAATAAAAAAAAGAAGGGTAAACAAAACCTCAACAACCGCAACACACTGGTTGCAAGTAACAAAAAAACAACACCCATATACTCACACACACATTCACCAACACACACCTACACCAGCCCCTGCTATACAGTTCTCAGATGGCAACACCCAGCGCCAAAGTAATATACAATGTTAAAAACCGAAAGACAATCCCAATGTTCACACGTACGTTATTGGTCAAGGAAAAGCCAAGGACCACATATCTCTGAATTTACTGGAACAAGCCCTAATCTCATAATCATTTTTTATTTAGGGACATCCTCATCCAACAGACTCTTAAACATCTCTAGAAAAAGAGTTTGCCATTTTTTCTAACATAACAGAATTATAAAAGCACAACAATCAAAGTAGGGAACGCTCCACAGAATGGGAAAGAAACAGTTCCATAATACCCCAAAACATAATTGACGTGGTGAGAGGGAAAAAGATAACCAATTTGCACTGCAGTAGGTCATGGACCAGGACCAATAACCCAAAATGTGTGAACAATCCCAGAAAATGTAAAACAAGTCAGCAGGGCCAAATTGACAAACGGGAGCAACAAGCCGTGTCATAAAGTCCCATACATTTAAGCCTATGGGGATTGTAATATAGACCATGAATGAACTTAAAGTGACACTAAATCCTAACTATATTCAAAAATGTATCTTAGTTGTGTATCACTCGGCTGTGGATGCTCAAATCATCTCTGAATTTGGGCTGATACTGTCCTTCCTTCTGGAGGGTGGCTACTTTGGTTCCCCATGGTCTCAGTGTGTGTTGTAAAGTAGTCACTGCTCTAAGCTTACTCCAATGATAGACTATTATTTCAATACAAATTAGTAAACTATACATGAGAACCTGGAGTTGGGCTTTAATGACTAACTTAATCTAAAAGCAGTAAAACTCTTTTGTGTGTGTACTGGTAGATTATATTACAGGCTGGATATTTATATCTCCAAGACTCCATTATTGACAAATCCATAGTCTACTGTCTCTGCTTCTATAAACAAAAGTAGTGTGTGTTGAGCACATCTGATACGTGGGTAATTTGGGAGGGGGGAGAAGTTTTGTATATTCCCAATAGGGGGACAGTGGCATGTTGCTCTTTTTGTGGGCAGGTGAAAGTATTTTGCCAAACTGGAAACAAGAAAAGACACACAAGCGCCACAGCCAATAGATATTATAAAAATTAAAGTGACATTAAACCCTCAGATTTTTTAACATAATACAATACTGTAATGTGTGCCTTACTGTAATCCATGGTTGTTTCCCTTCTCTTTGATGCTCTTCCTTTTAAATCTGTATCTTTTCTCATGCTTGGAGAGAACTTCCCTTTTCAGCTCAGGGCCTCTTCCTGTAGTGCTGGCTCAGGTTACAGCCTATAGAAACGTGTACACAGACACCGTTTGAGACAAGGCAGTCTGCTGAAAAGGGAAGTTCTCTCCAAGCATGAGAACAGATTTAAAAGGAAGAGCATCAAAGAGAAGGGAAACTACCATGGATTACAGTAAGGCGCACATTACAGTATTGTTTTATGTTAAAAAATCTGAGGGTTTAATGTCACTTTAAGTGTTGAAGAGTAACAGTGTTGCACTCAATAGAATTGAACATTCGATAACAAGTAACCACAAATATCGGCCTGTGGAGGAGAGTTCTGTCCTGTTAAGAAAACATTGAATGGAATGTAACTGATGGCTGTGTGTGTGTGTGTGTGTGTGTGTTGCAAAAAAAGTACACTACCACAACACAAGAAGGGTGGCAGCGATGAGAAAGACTGAAATTGCACTTACATGAAGGTGTGTGAAAAGAAGCCTGTCTGATGTACAGATGGAGCCGTGGTGGCAGGTTAATCTACTGTCCTAGGCGGTGGAGAAAACAGCAGCTGGGTCCAGTGGACAGGTGTCTAATAATGGCAGCATGAATCCAGGTTTAGAGGCAAGGAAGAATAATCCGTCCTTTTGGGAGAGCTGTTATTGAGGGCTCTGTTGATCGACTTATCGTTACTTATTATCACGTTTTCAATTCTATTGAGTGCAACATTGTCACTCTCCAACACTTCATTTTTATAACATCCATTGGCTGTGGCGCTCTTGTGTGTCTTCTTGTTTCTGCTTCTTTCAAGACACTCTCTTGCACCTGGACACCACATTTTATTAGATGATTTTACACTGTAAACTAGAGTGTCATTCCAGAAACAGTCTAACAAATTATTCCATAACTTTTAAAGATGCTTGAAGCAAAACACTATCACTCACCCATATACACAGGTCAGTCATAAAATCTAATATATTAATCAATATTTCAAAAGACTCTTGGTTAGCTTGTCTAGCTCTGTTTTTATGGTTCATCATAAAAGTAGATTGACCATTATAGTACAATAATTACAAACAATTAAATTGTTGTACATGTTATAAAAATCAGATTGTATCGCTCCATCGTTTTGTATCATCCATCTGTTCTATTTTTTATAGATTTGCATTGTAGCTTGCCTTTGTTTGCATATTGACTTTGATTTTGATTTCCCCCTGACATTCACAGGCAGTAGTGCCAGAGAAATATGTAGTGTTAATAGATTTTAGGCGTAGAATGCAGAGAGAGATCCAGATATGACTTAGGCATTGATCAATTTGGAATGTTCAAAATATGACTTGTGTTAAGATTTTGAATAACACTTTTAATTTTCTGTGAAGTTGGAAGCAAAATGATTTTGTCCATTTTTGGTGTCTGTGAATTACCCACAGATGTGCTTTTTTATGTATTAAATTTAAAATGGTGTAACAATGGAATTAAACATAAAGTTGAATTGTGATGTATAATATGGTGTTTAAAAGTAATGAGCTGAATTCACTAGTCCTAAATGTGTTTGAACTGATGTCACTGCTCACTCAGAACTCCAAATCTAAGCAGTCCTGGAAACCCTCAGCTACTGTCAATGGTACGATTTGGGAGCTGTCATTCACTGAGCATGACGTCACCTGGTAGGAACAACTAACCTCTTCCTCCAGGCTGACAACACTGTAACGCATTAATAAGAGGCTGTTTAATCATACTGATGATAACAGTCCTGTAGTCCATGAGCCAAGGAGGGCCAGTGCTGTGCAAACTGTTGGTAATCCACAGTATACACAGTGGAACTAGGAAGATCAACAGGTAAGATCTACAGGAATATTATCCAGTTCCAGCTATGATCAGCTGCTGAGTTCCATCATCCAATTATTTGCAAGCAAAACATTTTTTCTTATTTTCTGTATAAATAACTAGTATCTGTTATCTTTTTGCACAGAGATTTTCTAACATTTTGGAAAAGCACTTACATATGGCCCAACTGTTTCTTGCAATGCACAAAACAGCCATTTGATCTGTTTTTGAGCTTTGCATGGCCACACTTCAGGTATTCACAGACCTAAGAACGGTCATCTGACTGACTGTTGTGCAGAGCCCCGTTTTTGGGAAATGAGAAGTAAGTTAGGAAAGTCCATACCACACAGATCGGGCTTGTCTGCACACGTTTGGCATTCTTTAATCAATTGTACAGATTTATTTTCTCATTCCTGCTATGATCAGTTAAATTGGCAATAATAAATGTTTGTGTGTGTGTGGGTACCTACACTGCCTGTCCAAAAAAAGTCACACACTAATATTTTGTTGGACCGCCTTTATCTTTGATTACGGCACGCATTTACCATAACATTTATTTCCATCCGGAATTGCAGTATTTTTTTCACCAAGATCTTGTAGTGATGTTGGGAAAGTTGGACTGCTTTGTAAAGTCTTCTCCACCACATCCCAAACATTCTCAATTGGGTTAAGGCGTGGACTCTGCGGTGGCCAATCCATGTGTGAAAATGATGTCTCGTGCTCTTCGAACTACCCTTTCACAATTTGAGCCCGATGAATCCTGGCATTGTCATCATGGAATATGCCCATGCCGTTAAGGAACAAAAAATCCATTGATGTAAAAAACTGGTCATACAGTATATTAGTTTTTCTCATTCTCATTTTTTGGCACATATATTGCTGAACCTCGACCTGTTATCCTTTGGAAGGCTCTTGCCTATTCGCTTACCTAAATCCAGGTGGTGACTTTTTTTTGGACAAGCAGAGTATATTCCTTTAGGGAAGGACTAAATCCTTAAACCAGTGTCATGTTTATATGAAGCAATGCAAATAAGCCAAATTGTTTCCACACACTTCTATTTTCACAGTAATTACATTATAAAATAAACATTATCTATGTAAACATATCAAGTTACCTGATTATGTCATTTGATGGAGACAGAAAAAAAAATCTTAAGTATGAAATCAGTGTGTAGAATTGGCTGCTGTCATGTGTTAGGCACATAGCCAAGTCTAATGGAATTTTCTTCTAGTCTGGAACTCTACATTTTTGTGAAAGTGTTTTTCCTATCTTCAGCTGCCTAAAATAAACTAAAAAAGCAATAAAAGGCCTGATTAACAACCTTACACACAAGGCTAACACATTGTTGAGCGTTTGTGTTTATTTAATGTCACATAATTAATCTGTTCACTCTGCCAGTACATTTATAACATTGTCTGACAAAAATGATAAACAAATGGGCCTTATCTTTTTTTGTTCCTACTCAAGGCTCTAGAGCGTGTTGCGGTCGGCCAAGGGGTAAGTAGTTTCGTTTACTGAATTTCATGCATCTGTCTTCTTTCTGATTTTAGTTCATGCATAACCTAAATGTGAACTTACAGTTCCCTATCTGCTTACGATAACTGATAAGATACATACAAACTTGGGAGCACTTCGGCATGTATGCTGTTTTACAGCTTTGATTGTTATGCGATATGACATTGCTTAACTTTGTTTATGTAAAAGAGCTGTTAATAGCATTCATGCATTATTATGTGTAGGTTTAAGAGCTAAACGGAAAAGAATATATTTAACATGAATGTAGTGCAATGATGTTGCCAATACCCAGCAACTTGTTAGTTTAACCGCTTGAAGACCAGGAGTTTAGGCCATTTTTCAGTGTTCAGCGTTGCAGTACTTTGACATTTATTCCGTCATACAACGCTGTACTGAAATGAATGTTATACCATTTTTTGGGGACAGATAGAGCTTTTTTTTTGGTGGTATTTAATCACCACTGGTGGTTTTATTTTTTACTATATTCAGGAGAAATTACTGAAAATTTTGAAAAAAAAAAAGTTTTTTTTTTACATTATGTTATAAAACAACTAATATTACCCACTTTTTTGGTTAATATAATAGACGGGGTCACGTCGGGTAAATAGACACCAAACATGTCAAGGCATTCAGTCCTGTGTCTCCTCAGTGTGCTGAGGAGTGCTCTCCTCCCTCCTCAGTCTACTGCAGAGTGATCTCCTCCCCTCCTTCCTCCTCAGTCTACTGCAGAGTGATCCCCTCCCTTCTCCGTAGTCTACTACAGAGTGATATCCTCCCCTCCCTCCTCCTCTGTGTACTGCAGAGTGATATCCTCCCCTCCCTCCTCCTCGTTCTACTGCAGAGTAATCTCCTCCCCTTTCTCCTCAGTGTACTGCGGAGTGCTCTCCTCCCCTCCCTCCTCCGTAGTCTACTGCAGAGTGCTCTCCTCCCCTCTCTCCTCAGTGTAGTGTGGAGAGGAGAGGACTTTGCACACACTGAGGTATCACAGCCCTCTGTATGCTGGGGGACAGCGGGGACTGGAAGCAGTACAGAAACTGAGCCTTGGTTGGGGGTTTTAATCTTTACACTGTCAAAATAATAAAGCTGGTGAAAGAGGGTTGTTTTACATTGTGTAATTATAACCCCCTGTTCTTCCAGCTAAATTGGTAGCAGTGTTAGGCCCCATTCCCATGAATGTGCACCGTGTTTATGCGTGTTCTGCATACACCCCGTGTTATTTAAGCCTGACCCCTGGACTCTGTATCATTTACTCCTGGCTCCTGCACTGTGTACATAATTCCACATTCTATATGTAGGTGCAAATTTTAAGCCCCTCCCACTGTTAGTATGATTTTGCCACACCCACAATTTACTACATGGGCCACCTTATTCTTCCCTGGGTAACCAAAGGGGAAGGGGTCCTTCCAGGTAGGCTGTATGGGGCCCCATGATTCCTAATGGCGGCCCTGGCCACCAAGTGGATATATACTGTAAGCTTACCCATGCTGCCATAAAACTAGTATTCTTGTACTTATTCTGATATTCTGATACACCCTTTTAAATGGTAGGCTTCCTAGAATTAAAAAAAATTATTGTGTTTATAATTGCTGGGACACATATTCCTACCCGTACACCCGCTGGGAAAATTTTGCAAATCAACAAAAACAAAAAAAAAATAAACCTGATATTGGATTTTTTTTAAAAATGGATCTGGTTTTGCTTCAGAGATATTAAATATCAGATCATTTATACATTTCTACAAAACAATTGCTCAAAGAATATTTGAGTTCTGCACATATTTTAAATGAATTATGTTGCCCATTTTTTACTTTTTGTTTTTACAAGCTTCCCACTGAGTCCTTGTTTTATCGAGCAGTGCTTCAGGTCATCTGCAAAGAAGTTTATGGAATCACGCAAAGGTATGGTCACTGACTTAAAATGCTGGTTCTGGTGAAAGGAATTTACTGGTGTGCTGAATAATTAAGTAGGCTGTGTGGATGGTTTTTACATAGGATTTTTAAGTATTTATTATATGGAAGCGAACCCATAAAGATCGCAGTTCACTTATATGCATTAGAGCATCAATAGAAAAATGCACAAAGGTTTTAGTCACAATGAACAAATAGCAGTGATCTGCTTTTTCCCATAGCAACCAATAAAGTTAGTTTTTTGACAGTTTGGAGCAGTCCAATAAAGGTTTACCTTACTGATGTGGCTTTTTCGTTTTACCTCATTGCACTTTTCCTCACCCTAGTAAAAAGAAAAAACCCTATATTATGTTTAAAGATGACCAGATGTATTTGAGACAGGTTTTTTAAGAATTAATATTGACTTTATTTTGCTTATAAAGAATACAGTAACTAAGAAAAGTGATGGTAACTAAGAAAAGTATTGGTATCAAATGTATGCTTTAAAAAAAAAATCTAACTTAGTCATGTTGATGGCATGAATGTAGGGCCTTATCCACACAGGGTTAAGTCGGACATACACATCCGTGCATGCACGTATCGGGCCATTCACCGTGTAGCAGCCTGTTCTTCTCTATGGGAGGACACGGCTGTACGCTGTCATACACACACCCGAACTGCACATCCGTGTGGGTCCATGTGTCCATGCCCAGATGCAGACAGGATCCACTGCAAGGGTTAATTTAAAAATCCTGGTTTTCTTCTGTAAAAAGAACGGGGAAAGTTTCTATTGACCCTTGCAGTGGAGCTACCCCTGAACTGCAAGGGTTAACTGCTCGTTTGTTTCTAGGTGCTCAAAAAGAGTTATACTTACCTGATCATTTCAGCTGGCTTGTACTTAGACTGGACCCTAGTGCCTCGCTCTCCCTCCTCTCTAGCGGTCTAAGAATCCTTGTGCTATCACGCTCTATACATGGGTATAGACGTGAGGATGCCGAGGAACATTCCATCTGCCCAGAAGAGACAGGCTTCAGTGAGCAGAGAAGCAGGGAATTGGCTCAACAGTTCGGGTGAGTATAACTTTTTTTTTTAGCACCAAGACAAGAACGAGCAGATAAGTTAACCCTTGCAGTGAGTAGTCCCTCTGCAAGGGTTAATAAAACTTTTCCCTGGCATTCTTCTTTAAAGCATAAGTATGATGGTGTATTTTAGTTTTTAAATCTTCTGATAATTAAGCTTTTTTTGGTTAAATGCACTATAACAATGTCTACTTTCTAAGCTCTATTTAAACTTACACATTATTTTACAAGTTTTAAAACTGTTTTTCCTTTAAGGTCCTATGCGATCGTCCCGCAGAGCAAGAATGTCCTTCAAATGTAAGAGGCTGATAAGATCATACATTTTATAGTTGGGAATCTTATTTTTCATCTGTGTTAGAATTTTTATATATAAAAAAAAAAAATTTGATATGGGGGGATTTAACTATGAAAGCATGAGATCATTGTATAAGACAGATTTGTAGGCAAAAATAAAACCTGACAACTGCTAGATTGTTTTTAAAAGGGGTCCTCACTCTTCCATCCCCAGTTATAGAACCATTGTCGCACCATTGTCTCCAGTTGTGCCACATATGCTCTGAAGTCTCATCTTTGATCTATAAGTACATTCATAGAATATTATTACATTCAAAAGTTATTAAAGTCCATATCGATCTTTTTTTTAAAGATGTCTTTATCCTCTTCTAAAAGAAAAAGGTAAAGCACTACTCACATTCTCCATAAGCAATACATTAAAACAGATCTCCAGGATTTTCAAAGGTTAACCCTTGCAGTGGTGCTAACCCCCACTGCAAAGATTAACTGCTTGTTTTGGTCTAGGGAGGGGAATTAAAAAAATGCACTCTTCAATCCTGCAGTGGTGACCGCGCACCTCTCTTCCCCTCCACTCTGGTTGTGGCATGTCCCTTGGTGTCCTTACGTTTAATGCACATGAATGGACCTTGCATAGATGTGATGACATCAGCAAGGCTTAGTCCACGTGAGCCCAGGGGAAAAGAGGCTGCTGGGACCGATCAAGCAGCCAGGAAGGATTAAGGATCAAGTAAGTATATTTGCTTTATTTGTGCCCTTAGACCAAAAGGAGCAGTTAACCTTTGCAGTGTGGGGGTAGCCCCATTGCGAGGGGTTAACTTTTGAAAATCCTGCAGTTCCTTTTTAAAATTAATTGCAATAGAAAATAAAATCATTTTGTGGTCGCTGGCTGAATGAAAATCTTTAATTCTTTCAGACACTTGCCAGAGCAAGTTTGCAGATCATGAATTATGACTTCAGTTGATGCATATCTATTCCAGATCAGTGACTTATAGTATTAAAACCAAGCACAGTTAACTACAATATTCAGCAACAGGTCAGCTTTGACAGCCCATGTATTTTTGTTTCTCACAGCCGGTCTCTTTTAAGCACCACTTTTTACATGACAGTGGCATGTCAGTCAAAATTAGAAGTTAGATTTCATCGTTCTGTCAGAAGTGGTCGATTACAGGTCTGTAGGAAACTCTTGTTTAAGCTAAGGGAGGTCTTCCGCTGAGGTAATTTTAGTTCAGTTTGGAAAACCATCTTTAAAAAACCACATTGTGATTTAGTTTTATTTATTTAAAATTTTGCTTACTCAATATTCAAAAACTCTTAATTTAAAATATTATGATTGTCCTTGCAGTGACCAACGTGTTGGAAAGATATTCTCCAAGTCATCAGGCTTCACTGACTATGTCAGGAAATCTCTGAAGAAATTTGGGCAAGATGATTCAAAGGTTAGTGTGATATTTGTGGGTTTAGTCCATTATCTTCATCTATTCATTATACAAAAGTGCCATATTTTTTAATACCGTAAAAAGTGTGCCCAGTCCAGAACAGGTATGTTTGTGACGCAGAGCTGATTCCCTGTGTAGAGTGCAGTGTACAGGTGGTGGATTACATATGAGATTTCACAGCAATGCTCTGCTGATGTAATCTTTGCAGGATGCGATGCTTGGGCACATTATATCAGTTTTGCCAAAGAGAACCAGAAAGTGGAAAATAGAAATTGTAAGTAAAATAACAATATGTTTGTTTAGCTCATGAATGTAAGATGCTCTCGTATCAGCATGGAGAGCTGTATGCTGATGTGATATTTAGTCAAATGGGGTAAAGGTCCACTTTAAGGAGTCAAGGAGCTGATTTCACCAATGAGAGGAGATGGCGGTGGAGGGAGAATTGTGAATGGGAAGTTAATGCTGGATGTGTGGAAGGATGTACTGTAAGTGGGGGGGTAATGTAATGTTAACGGCTGAGATTCTCAGCAGGAATGCTCTGTAAGCGGGGGCTGAGATAGCTGGGAAGGAATCCAGAAACACAGTACCTGTGACATTGTTTTTGGTTATTTTGGATCGGTGTGTTGTCAAGTTTCATTCTTAATTTCTGTTCCCGCATATCACTCACTGGCCTGAATTCACATATTGAACCTGGATTACTCAAGTATAATACCTGCTTTCATCTAGAGTGGAGGTCACAATTTGTGAAATCAGTAAGCTGCTCTTAAATACGTAATGTAATCAGCTGTTTATTACTAGGATCCAGTTGCTACCCTGAGAGGATTCTTAATAATTATGATATTTTATCTCCTAGTGAACAGTTCACTATTTTTATTAATCTAATTTATTTAGGTCTCTAGATTTCAGAAAAGTGAATGCACATTTGGAAAAAACAAAGAACACTCGAAGAAAACAGTTACATTGTAGAACAAACCTGTCAGGCCTATCACTTTTGATGCTCTTTTCTCATGGCATAGATGTTTCTCTGGATTCTGAGTTCACCACTTTTTTTCAGGCTGTACTTTTAAATATTCTTAATACAGGACTTACTGCTTCTTTGCATTATATGCTTGAGGTGGCTTTTTTTTGTGCGGTAGTTCAGCTTTCCATGCTTTGTGCCAAAAGGACGACTCCAAGATTGCAAAGACAGCAATAATGGATATGTCAGTTTATAAGCTAATATGCTGATGTTCTCATCTTAATTTAGATTATACAAACATTGCCTTATGATACCAGAAAATAAAATCTAGCCAATGCGTCCTGCCAAATTTTGCTATATATGCTTTATAGCCCAAGGATATTTTCTGTTGAAAGACATTTTTCATTAAATTATATTTAAATGAGTGATAAACCTTTTATCTCTGTAGTTTAACTTAAGTATCTGTTTCCATCTGTACACAACTGCAACAAATGAAAACAAATGTGTATTCTGGGAAACAAACCTGTATAGTTTTCTATAACTACATTAATTTAGTCTCAGTATATACATGTGTACAAAAATAGAAGGTAGCAGTATCAATTCATTTTGCTTAGATTTTTGTAAGCTTGTGTCCTTTTGTTAGGATGTTTAAACCACTCTACCATAACTATCTTTAGCAGTGGCTCTGTCACTCAGAAATGCTTAATTCCTACTTTCTAGAGTGGAACTGATGACAACACTCTATTTTCTCTCTGTCATTCAAAGATTTTTTTTGAAGAAGACATGGATAATTGAACAAGGCAGAGTAGCGCTGGTACTTGGAATAAGCTATTTTTCTCATTCAACCCACAAGCAGAACGAAAAAAAATAGAGCAGATTTCCCCATCAACACTACGAGTGTGTCGATTCAGAAATCTCCACTGTTTCCTTTGTATACTGACAGCGGCCGCCAGCCACTGTCAGAATACCCGAAGAGAGCCGGCAGCTCATTGGCTACCTGCTTTGTCCGTAGAAAGATTTTTCGACCTGTTCCTTCAATCAGCTGATCGAGGGATGCCGGCCAAAATTCAAGAATCGGACGAAAATTGCACACTGCATGGCGCCCTTTAGTCTGATTGATCCATAGTGTCCTTACTGTTGCTAAAGGAAACTGGTCATAAGACATATAGATTAGAGCTGTCAGAGGAAACTTGTAAAGCCTAAACTCTATACTTCAGATCAGTTGGTCAGTATAACAGCCAGAATGAGGTCTGTAATGGCAATGTCTATATTACTCTCAAGAGAGGTTTCCTTTCAGTTCACGACTCCTGCAAGGTGGATTTAAACGTTAGTAAGATGATAACCACTGACCATTTCAATAACTGGCGTGTATACCTAGTATAGTCCATAGAAGCTGCCTCTTTCATTAACACATTTTAAGATTTTTGTCATATTTATTACAAAGTGATTTCACAATATCCTGTAGATATACCAACAGATATATAGTTGAATGGCCTGCCTGATTGGATGGAAGCTGAATGTATTGTTTAGGAAAGTATTATTACATTGTTTTGGTAAAATGAGATTGTATACAGACTGTACAATAGCATTGTAATGTGTATGACCAGATTTAGTTAGACCTTTGCAAATTTTCTGAACCCGGCCAGTTTAATCTGCTAGCAGAAGTGAATATTATGTAATCCCAATTTGCATTCGGACAGAGCTCTAAGGTGGGAATATGCAAGACATAAAGTAGTTGTCACGTATCCAGAGTAAATCTGTCTGCTTCTCAGGTATCAAAAGATTAATTGCTTTTGTAAACTTTACCTCCTGTAAAATTTTTGCACACATTGGGCCAAAGTTATCATTACACGTGCAAGATTTTTACATGTTAGAGATTAAAATATAAGAACTGGTCACTAAGCATGTTTTATATTAGCACAATTCTGCTTTTAACTAGTAGGGCAGGACATTTAGAGGCCAGCATATGAACTTAGTGTTGCATATGTAACTCTTCCTTGTAAGGTTTACAGGTGTACGTCCTGTTCTGTGAAAAAAGCAACGCTTTCGCAGGGACACCTATACCAGCCTCCTTTCCCTTAAGGCTGTTATGCCTACCAGTACTTAGATGCTCCTAGGACCTAAAGCGTGGTGCTATATTCGCAGAAGTGGGATGCTACCCACCAACCCCAGAGAGAGTGTTCATATGCTGTGTCGTATGGCTTCAGGATAGTAAATGGTTCATGGTAGGCACAGTATGCAGGAGTGATTAGGAATAGTGACTGGCTGGAACCCAAGCTAGCAGGGTTCATTATCCAAGCAAGGTCCTGGCAGGCGGCAATCAGTAGTGTAATCCATTTGCCTGGCAAGGTTCAGAAAAGGTGGCAGTCAGTTGCGTATACGTTATCCAGGCAAGTGTCAGGGCAGGTAGCAATGAGCAGCGTATTTGTTATCCAGGAAAGGGTCAGGGCAGGTGATAGTCAGTTGTGTATCTGTTTTCAGGCAAGAGTTTAATCAAATTGAAACAGTCAGAAGCAAGGCACTTCACAAGGCTTTAGGTACAGGAGCCCAGGAAGCTAACGCTGGAGCCCTTGGCTCGTGATGTTCAAGTAGGATGCCACAGCACTGCCAGCCAATGAGAACACAGGTGGTGGAACAGGCAGCGTTATGCGACTGCCTAGCAACAAGGATGTCTCCTGCTGCCAGCCGGTGAAAGTAAAGGTGACGTTGCTGATAGCACAGTGCCTATTGGCTAGCAACTGCCCATGCTCAGGTGGGGAAAGAGTGCATATGAGTGGGACTCATGCTCCCAACACTCCAGCACTTTGCCTTTGGTGATAAATCGCTATTCCTTTGTTATTTCATCCCAGGCAGCATAATATTAATTTACTTCTGTCTGTTAAACTCCTTTTGTATAAAAAATATGCACACTTTGCCATTCTTCTACATTGCGCTTATTAATTAACACTTGTTAACGTTTGTTGCATTAATGCAGCCCATCTAGTTTGAATGGCCTGCCAATGCACAAGAACAGACAAACAAAACATATATGAAGCACATTTTTCTAATGCAGCGCACCACACCATTCAGGATAAACGCAAGTGTTAATACGCCTATTATCACAATTCAAAAGTATGATTCAGCCTTTACTGTCCTTGTACACCAGCAGATAATACACCTAGTCTTTGTTGGTAGAAAATATTAGCATTGGAACCCTGTTGTAACAGTAGAGTGCAGGTGGGAAATTAATCTTTCAAAACTGTATTCCACAAGTTTGGGTTATTTGCATAAGGCTCAAAGATGAAGTCACAGACCTGTAAAAGTCAGCATAGGTTTTGTGATGAAACATAATGGGGGGGGGGGAGGCAGATACATTTTGCAACAAAAATAGAGTAACATAATGTACGGGCAAACCCTTTCCAGTTTAAAGATCATTTGTGTGATGAGATGGATGGTTTGGGCTAGTAGATTTTATAAAGGAAAATTAATTACAGTTTGCATGTGTCAAGTCAGTGGCTGTCAGGCCAAAGCCCACTTCTGTTGTTGTCTTCAGCACCATCCTACTCTTCCTTAAAGTTATACCCTCTGGACCCGTTCCCGTAGCCAGTTCTCTATCCACGTACACACCACCTCATCTATGCCCAAAAGGTGTGTACATTTTAATGGCTCACATTGTAGGCTTCATTTTTTTTAATGAACTTATTAGTACTTAAATCTTCACAGAAAATTCACACTGACACTGGGATTGGATTGTAAAGCAGGCTACACAATATACTGTTTTTTTTGGGGGGGATGTCACTATGAATACTAATGAATAGGGGGTGGAGAGCTCAGTTGTAAATACACAGATTGCTTGCAGACTACAGAAGCGGCCATTTCCATGAGCCTATGAAGTGGAAATCTAAAAACGTAAGTTTCTGTGTTAATATAAAGCAACTTCATATGCCTGCTTCACGTAGACTTACTGTACATTGCTGCCATATGTTTTTTTTAAAATACCTCTTCAAAGGTGGCAATTGGCTTTAAGATATGCCTGCTGTTCAGCCTGCAGGTTGCACCAAAA